TATGAGACTGATTCTCTTTTCAAATGACTGAATACACAAAAACAAAAGATCTATTCGAAACAAAACCCGATAACTCGATATTTTATATTATAGAAATCGAATTAAAAAATCATTGTGAAAAACAATAAGTTCTTCTTACTTTCTAAAAGAATAGATGCAAGAAGCAAAAAAATTCCTATTATTCTTATAAGTAGAAGTATAGACCAAGATTGAATTTTAAAAAAGAAAATAAGAAAAATAATTGTTCTGATGAGATATATTCATCAATGAATAAAAAGATCTTTTTAGGTTACTATTGATCAAAATAATTTTCATAATTAATTGAATATTTCAATGAAAATAATTATTTTATGAAATAAATGTGAATGATACTAGCAAATGATATATATTTTAACAATTAGAAAATATTGTTTAAAAGAATTTCTTTGTATAAAATTCTTTTTTTAAATTTATTTTCGAAGAAAAATATTTAACGATATCAAACGAAACGAATCATTGAATATCTTCTTCATTATTTTCTTGTTGTTGAATCAACAATGGTTACATATGTCCATTTCGGAAAAACACGTTTATAGAGATCCATAAATACAATATCTTTTGATTTAAGAATTCCATCAAATTGACATTTCATATGACCATGTGTACCTTTAAATTAAAATAAATATCATTTATTATAATTAATTTATAAAAAACCTAATGACAAACGAAGTGATTCTCTAATATATCCTCGTCGACACCATCGTGTACGTAATTCAATTGATTTAAACCAATTAACATCGTCTATTTAAATAATAAATAATAGAATTAAAAAATAATTAAAAAAAAGTAATCAAATCAGGATTAAAAAACATATACCGAATAACAGATGATCTTTTATGAATTTTAAATGGATGCTCACTTAATACTAGTCTTTTTAATATAATACGATCAAGATTAACTGAAAGAAGGCTGTGGGTGTGGGTATTAACTTCAGTCACACCCGACATGTACTGTATTTGTACACTCTTGGATCAATTACTACATCTAAATATCGTTCATATGCTTAATCTTGTACTTGCCATACCTAGTATATTTGGTATAAATATTAGAGCTAATCGACAATCTATAAGATAGAAATCGAAAAAACTTCTATTTCTCCTTACTGTTGGGACACCCGGTATTTAGCTATATGTAGCTATATGTAGAATGTTATGCAATATAGTACTTCTCACAATAGAAGGTTACACACTGTAAGCTAAGGAGATTGATCATATTCAGATTAGATGAACGCTCATATTGACAAACTAATACATTTAGAATATTAAGTACTCATAGAGTACCTAACGCGAGATACCTGAAATCCAAGGTATTATAAATTTAATTTTAAAAATAAGGACTTCTAAAATATATTGATGACTAAGTTTTGTTTACAATTCTTTTTTGTTTTTACACCATAAGTAGCTGGAATCTTTCTGACAGATGTTAGATGCATTCAATCCCGACTGATTCTA